CGGAGTGGTGATATCTAGCCCGATGCTCTTCTCCTGCATCACCGCGCCCTTCAGCTTAGACGGCACTGCCGCGAGAATGCGCGGATGCAGGTACAGCTCTATGTTCTCAAACCTCCGCGGCGTCCCGACGAAGCTGCAAAATGGCGCCTCGAGCCACACCTGGTACATGTCCTCCGCCGCCGTGACGACGAAGTTCCAGCACTGGACCACCACCGGCTGGTCGTTTCCATAGCTAGCTTCCACATTTGTAGCCGCTCAGCCCTGTCTGATGGAGAGCCGTACTCAAGTTTTGGTAAATCCCCCATTGGCTGAAAGATTTGCATCAGGAAACTCAGCTCCTGTGGGCTCATCCGCTGGTCTAGCTCTGTCGTTGCCAAGCCAAGCAGTAATGAGACACCCTGGTTTTGCGCAGCCTCTGTGGCTGCGGGGACGGCTCCTGTGCGCCGATCAGACGCTGAACCGCGACACACACCAGGGAAAGCTGGTGCATGCCCCTGGAAACCGCAACCTGTCATGCCACCTCCGCCGGTACCTGCGAGTTGGTGAATCGCTGCGTCTCCGTCTGGACCACCAGTGTTCCGCCCCGGATCCAACTGCATCGTCAGCGCTGCAGCTGCCGGTGCTGGATATGCTCTAGGGAGAAAGATGCCGCCTGGCTGAAGAGCCGACTTGCCGCGGCTCGCTGCGGTGACGTTCTGCTCCCCTTATTGGTGCCTGTCGCATCTCACTTGGTATGAGAAACTCCGCTACGGTTGCATCACGGTGGAGACGCTGCTGGCCAAGGCTCCCGAGGGAGGGGCCCGCCGCGCTCTGCCCAACTGCAGCGACTTTTGTTCCAAGCCGCTTTGCTGAGAACTCCACCAGATGGCTTGCAGCGTGGCTGGGGGCAGGGAGCGCTGTCTGAGCAAGCGGAAGTCCACGGGAACTCAATTCCCCGGCTCCCAAGAGCGGAGTCGTTGAGATCTGCGGTCTCCAAAGATCGAACTCGAACCATACGCTGTCCAGCAACCCCTGCTCCCCTGGTCTAACGGCATCTGTCGGCACCAGCTGGTTGGCTGCGCCGGACTCCTCCCCCGGGGGCTCGTTGGCGACCACCTGCCCCAAGGCTTCGTCGAAAACGACATCGTCAGAGTGCCTCTGCTCTGTCCAATCCTGCTGCTCGCCCGTGTACCACCAACTATCCGTCTTCTCCTCGATGGAAGCCGTGCGTGCGGTGAGCTCCGTGAGCAGCGTCTTGATGTCTCTCCTGTCAACAGCCAGGTCTGCCTGTTTACACTGCGTGTTGGTGAGACTGCACCCCAATGAATTGAGACGCTCTTGAAGATGAATAATATCAGCAGTTGTTTCGTTCACCTTCCGTTGTTCCAACATAAACATTTGGATCGCCTCAATTGCGTGCGTGTGCCTAGTCATCACGCCCCTGTCTGTGGACAAATCACCAATAGGACTGGCCGCTGAAGCGGACGAGGCGTCAGTCATGATCTTGACCATGGCCGTTGGCTCCACGGCTTCTGCTGCGCCAGCATCCTCGGTGGAGGCGTACGAGCTCGGAGGTTTTGGTGCCCTGGCATCTTGGCCAAGAGAGAATTGACTACCTTGCGCTGGAGTAGGTGGAGGTTGTTCTTGTTCGTCACTGGCCTGCTTCGCGGTGCCCTCGATGACGGCGGGTGCCGTCCGACTGCCCCCCGGGATCATAATGCAATTGCCCGTATGCATATGCCCCCATTTGGCTCTTGTTCGCTGTGTGGCACGCAATGCAAAAACCTCGCCCCTCTGCTTCCTTTTGAATCAGCTTCCCCTGCTGGAGGTCCCGGTGACTGGATCAGTTCTCGGGCGTTCTCGGGTTTATAAACGAGGCCCTGCCCGTCGGGTGCTCTGCGGCTGGCTGTAGTAGCGCTGCTGCCGGCTCTGGTTCTGTCGGAGGCCCTATCGGCACCCTAGGGCGCTCGACCGGATCCACCATAGTTCCGCGGCCATGCATGTCAGCTCGCGTGCCCTTGTCTTCGTCGGTCAGTGCCGGCAGGCCGTGCTGCGGACCCCCCGAAGAGGATGCCACACCTGGGGCGGAGACTGCTGTCGTAATTCCTTCTACGGCTCCCTTGACGACAGTTGTTGTGCCTTGCCCCATCAAAGCAACTCCACTGCCCAAAGCAAGTCCGACGGCACTGGCTACACCTAGGGTGGTCACCGCCGTCTCCCTACTAGAAGCCAATTGTCGGGCCAATCGTGTGGACCATCTTTGCCGCTGGGAGTCCGTGTTGAAGTTGGTGTAATGGGCGGTAGCCAAACAGGAGCATTGATCGCAGAAGGCGTAATCGCCCACCCCACCGACCTTCAAACAACCGTGGTGGCCTGACCGGTAGCATGCTGAACATACGTACAAGCCGTTCGCGGCCATCTGGCACACCTCGCAATCGAGCGTCGTAGTTCCAGGCCTGTCGATCTGCAACCCCCACGTGCGCGTAAATATCTCCCCTGTGTTTGGGTTCATTACCGTTGTAGCCAGAGCTGTGTTTGGAGTATCCGTACTCGGCCGTAGAGAGCAAGCGTGGTTGGGAGGTTCTCAAGAGTCCCTGGTGACTTGTAGTGATCTCTGCTTGCCATAGTAATGGCTCTGCTGATTACGGTAATGACCCAGGTATGAGCAAGTATGAGACACAAGATGTGGATGGGCGCATGAGAGAATTGGAATTCCCTTTTCCTGTGTGCGCGGCAGTTCTTGAGCCAAGGTGGACACGGAGCCCTTGCTTCCGCACCCTGCTCTGCTCTCGCTTCTGACAGACAATGATACAAATCAACACTACGAATACGTTAATTACTGTAAAGGCAGACTCCGGCCCACAAGGGCCACCGGCCGACAGGAAGCGCGATTACCGTCGCTATTCGGCAGCGCACGCCTTCGCGCGTTCCTTTGGCTTGGCGGAGCGGGCAGAGGCTTGTCGCACCGGCTGTCTGGACTTCTTGTCGCACCGGCTGTCTGGACTTCTTATGCGCCGGCAGAAGGAACGTGTTTCGTGCAAGGCGAAGTCCAACCTCCTGCATCGGCCCGTATGAATTTGGTATATACATTAAACATAACATACACAAACAAAGCACATGCTGTCACTCTGCCAATTCATGCCGCTACTCTGCTCGCCCTGCCCCCTGCCTCCCCATGTTGTCCTTCTGGCCGCACCCTATCGGCACCCTTGGGCGCGCGACCGGGAGAGCTGGCTATCGGCACCCTGGGGCGCACGACCACCAATGACTATCGGCACCGACTATCGGCACCCTGGGGCGCACGGCCACCAATGACTATCGGCACCCTTTGGGCGCACGACCGCCAACGGAATCGCAGCACAGTCGGGCTGAAAGCACTGCATAGCAAATCTAGAAGATCACGTGAAGAATTGGCCACGCAGTTCGGTTCCGAGCTCGGGCGGCGGGCCCCGTGGGCATTAAGCCGAGCCCGCGGACGCGGAGAAGGAGGAGGAGGAGGAGGAGGAGGTGTAGGAGACAGGAGGAGAAGAACGATAATAAGAATGATAAGCAGAAGGAGAAGGGAAAAGAAGAAGGAGAAGGAAAAGGAAAATGAGAAGAAGAAGGAGAAGAAGAGGAAGAAGGAGGAGAAGGAGAAGAACGAAGAATGAGAGAGAAGGATCACGAGAAGTATAAGGAGAAGGAGAAGGAAAAGGAGAAGGAGAAGGAGGAGGAGGAGGAGGAGGAGAAGGAAAAGGTAAAGGAAAAGGAGAAGGAGAAGGAAGAAGAAAAAAGGGGAGGATGGGGGGAGGAGACAGGAGGGAGAAGCAGAGAGGAAGAGGAGGAGGCGGAGGAGAAGGAGAATAATGAGAAAGAGAAGGAGAAGAAGGAGAAGGAGGAGGATGAGGAGGGGGAGAAGGATAAGGAGAAGGAAAAAAGAAACGAAGGAGGAGGAAGTAAAAAAGGGGGAAATGGGGGGGAGATATATGAGAAGAGATGGGGAACGAGGTGCAGGGAGAAGCGAGAGCGAGCAGCGCAGGAGCAGGAGCAGGAGCAGGAGGAGGAGGAGGAGGCGAAGGGGGATGTGGAGAGAGAGGAGAGGACAGGAGAGGAGAGAGAGAGGAGAGGAGGGGAGGGAGAGGAGAGGAGAGGAGAAGAAAGGAGGAGGCGGAGGAGGAGGAGAAAAAAGAGAAGAGGAGAGGAGAGGAGAGGAGAGGAGAGGAGAGGAGAGAAGAGGAGAGGAGAGATGAGAGGAGAGAGGAGAGGAGAGGAGAGGAGAGGAGGAGAGGAGGAGAAGGAGAAGGACGGAGGAGGAGGAGGAGGAGGAGGAGGAGGAGGAGGAGAAGGAGGGGAGGTAGGAGGGGAGGAGGGGGAGGAGGAGGGAGAGGAGGAGGAGGAGGAGGGAGGAGGAGGAGGAGGAGGAGGAGGAGGAGGGAGGAGGAGAAGGAGGAGGGAAGCAGGAGAGGAGGAGCAGAAGGAGGAGGAGGAGGAGGAGGAGGAGCAGCAGCAGCAGCAGGAGGAGGAGGAGGAGGAGTGAGGAGGAGGGTGGAGCAGCAGGAGGAGGAGAGGAGGACAAGGAGAGCAGGGGAGGAGGAGGAGGAGGAGGAGGAGGAGGGAGCGAGCAGGAGCAGGAGCAGGAACATGAGCAGGACGAGGAGCAGGGAGGAGCAGGAGCAGGAGCAGAGCAGTAGGAGAGGGGCGAGGAGGAGGGGGAGGAGGAGGAGGGAGGAGGAGGAGGAGGAGGAGGAGGGTGGAGCAGCAGGAGGAGGAGGACAAGGAGAGCAGGAGCAGGAGCAGGAGCAGGACCAGGAGCGGGAGCAGGAGCAGGAGCGGAGCATGAGCAGGACGAGGAGCAGGAGCAGGAGCAGGAGCAAGAGCAGGAGGAGAGGGGCGAGGAGGAGGAGGACGAGGAGGCGGGTGGAGCAGCAGGAGGAGGAGGAGGACGAGGAGAGCAGGAGGAGGAGGAGGAGGAGGAGGAGGAGGAGGAGGAGGAGGAGGGGGAGGAGGAGGGGGAGGAGGACGCAGGGCGAGGGCTGGCTCTCCTCCACCTCCCGGGCCAGCCGGTCGCGGTCCGCCTGGCCGGGCGGGCGCGCACGCGCAAGTGCGCGCGGCCAGGCCCCCCGGACGAGTGGGCACTGGCGCGGGGAGCCTCGATTCTCTGGTGCTTGTTGGTCAGCGACGAAGGCAGACTCTGGCGGGCCGCGCCAGGCAGAGGTACACTGAACGACTGAAAGGAAGAGGGCAACCGCGGAGGGGGGACGCGGGAGGAAGCCTCAGGCAGAGAGAATCGTCGCCACAAGGAGCGCGCAGGGGGCCTCACTCCTCGTGTTGGTGTCGTGACTCTCGCAAGCTCGGGACAGATCTGCCCTGCTTGCGGCCCCCGCTGGTCCCGTTTTGGGGGCCCCGGGGGCCCTCCAAAGACAAAAAAAGCTCCGGGCCGAACAAGGCCGCCTGCGGGAGGGACCGCCTGTCGAGACCTCCTCCTCCTCCTCCGCTCTCCTCCTCCTCTCCTCTCCTCCTCCTCCTCTCCTCCTCCTCCTCCTCCTCCTCCTCCTCCTTCCTCCTCCCCCTCCTCGTCCTCCTCCTCCTCCTTCCCCTCCTCGTCCTTGTCCTCCTCCTCCTCCTCCTCCTTTTCCTCCTCCTCCTCCTCCTCCTCCTCCTCCTCCTCCTCCTCCTCCTCCTCCTCCTCCCAGCGACGAGCCGTTGCAACTCCCACACCGCGCAGGGGCAAGGAGGAGGGGGGAGACCCTCGGGTCCCTGGGAGGAGGAGGCGGGGAGGGAGAGGAGGGGGACACCTTCGAGTCCCTGGGAGGACTGGACCCACGCCTCGGGAGCCTTCGTTGGCAACTCATGGGAGCCTCCGCTAAGATGAATCAACGCTAGTCGACGCTAAACGACGCTAATCGACGCTAAATCGACGCTGAACCGACGCTACCTCATCGACTCCCAAACGCTGATCGACGCGAATCGACGCTGAAGACAGAATTGCGAGGATACTCCGACTTTCTTAACAAGCGTCGGGGGGGCGCCACCCCCGCCGACAGCCCAATCGACCCCCGTCGCGGGCAGCCACCGCGCGCCGAAGGCGCTCCGACCCCCGTCGCAGCGCGACAACGAGGCGAGGTTGCCCCCCGTCGGAGGGGTACCCCCCACGCTCATCAAGAGACCCAGGGCATACAAGGCTCCCACGATTTGCCACCGAAGGAGCCCCCCCCCTCGCGATTGAGCCGGCGGGCCCGGGCCCCGGGGCTTCGCGAGCATCGCTGAACCGAACCCCATCCCCACCAGCGTGGGCAGGGCCCCAAGGGCCGATTTGCCCACCCATGGACGGGGACACGGGCTGCTCTCTTCGGGTCGCGATGGGGGTGCACATCCCCAAGCTGAGGTGGGGAGACGGTGGGGCTCGAGGCGTAGATGGAGAAGGAGGAGGAGGAGGAGGAGGAGGAGGAGGAGGAGGAGGAGGAGGAGTAGGAGGAGGAGGAGGAGGTTAAACGATACCGAGCGCGGGCGCGGCCCCATCTGCGCGCGGAGGGGGGCCTGCAGGGCGGACGCCTGGGCCTTCAGCTCCTCCCAGCGGCCCTTCCACGCGACCGCCTCCTCGCGGGCCGCCGCCTGGGCACGGAAGCGGAGGACGCCGACCGCGGACCCTCCCCCCCATCCTCCTCCTCTCCTCCTCCTCCTCCTCTCCTCCTCCTCCCCCTCCTCCTCCTCCTCCTCCTCCTCCTCCTCCTCCTCCTCCTCCTCTTCGTCTTCCTCTTAGTATTATTGTTCTTATGATTAGTAGTGTTCGTATTACTCTTAACATGTTTTATTAGTATTATCAGTATTGTTATCGTCAGTATTATTAGTGTTAGTATTAATATTAGTAGTATTATTAATAATAATAGTATTAGTAGTAGTATTATTATTAGTAGTAATAGTAGCATTTCTTATTAATATTAGTAGTTTTATTATTGTTATTCTTCTTATTAGTATTATTAGTATGCTTATTATTATTCGCATTATTGTTATTAGTATTAGTAGTGGTATTCGTATTCGTCCCCTTCCCATTATTATTCGCATTATTCTTCGTATTATGGTGAGTATTCGTGTATTCGTAGTGCTAATAATAGTGTTAATAATATTCATATCCGTCGTATTGTTCTTAGTAGTGCTATGAGTGTTATTATTATCAGTCGTAG